TAGACATATTTAAACAGTTGACTTATTTTAGTTTGAGTCATTGTTTATGATACGCAGCACCTTCTACAGTCAACGAAAGTCAGAACTCCATCTACCACAGACACTAAGTAAGTAAGTAGGATTGGGGTAGTGCCGTGGTGAGCTGGTGGAGGACCTCCTGTGCCAATCCTCATCATGGATTGACTATCCCGTCCAGGGCCTGTTGGCCCTTTCTGTCCTGTTGGGGCCACTGTTCCGGTTAATGTTCCCATTGGGGTTCGGACGTGTCTGTAGGTCCCGCATGTTTATGCGATCTGGGACAGTGAAGCCTGGCCCCACACCTGCGGAACAAGCAGAGATTGACCGCAGGCTGGCAGAAAAGAAAAAGGAAAAGGAAGCTAAGAAAAAACAGAAAGAAGAAGAAGCAAGAAAGAAGATGAAAGAGAAGATGGATAAAGAATTAGAAGAAGAGTTGAAAAGTATACAAGAAGAAGAAGAAGAAGAGGAACCAGAAGAAGGAGAAACATTGCGACGCGCAGCGGCTTCCTGTTGAACCGCTGGATTGGGCTGGACAGTATTACTACTCCAGCGAACCTTTAAAAGAGTCTGAAGAAGAACGCGACGTGTTCATTGCCAAGTTGGCCACTTTGACAGACATTGTTGAACGCAATATGCTGTTGGAGGAGAAAAGGGCGGAGCTGAACAGTAAGTTGTTAGCAGCCAGACAGCAAGAGGTGGAAGAAAAAAAGAGGCTGCAGGCAGAAGGGGAAAACTTGCAGAAGGCTTTAGAAGAGGAAAAAGATAAACCCTCTGCAACAGAAGAACAGCTTGCTCTCCTCAGGGAGACAGTCCTCAACACAAGGCAAGATATGAATTTAATGCGACAGACCCTACAAAGGGTTGAAACGCATCGAGTTGAATTCGAAAATGTCTGGAATAACTTCTTGGAAAAGTCAGCCAAAGACGTTGACCAACACGTGCAAACTTACATTAAAGTCTTGGATGAACATGTTACTAAGACATTCACCCCGAAAGTTATAGAAAAGATAGTGAAAGGCGCTGGAGGCGGAGGAGGAGATGGTGATGACGACGGCGATGTGGACAAAAAAGGGAAGAGGAAGATTGGGGATCCAAAGGAAAAACATCCTCAAGAAACCGGGCAGGTTAGCAAGATCAATATTAAACTGCCATGGACCTATAATGGAAAGGAGGAGGAAAGTGTTCTGCATTGGGCCACAGCAATCGAAACCTATGTGTACGGACAACGAATCCCATATTGGGACAGGGTATTGATGGCAACTTCATGCATGGGAGGCGACGCTATGAGCTTCGCCATCTCGCTGCAAAAAAAGGCGGGATGCAGCTCTATGGTAGAGTATTCGCAGCAAACGCGAATTGAAGATTTCCTTAAGTTGATTAGAGAAAGATTTGAGGACAAGAATTTAGCACGACGCACTGAGATGTTAATCCTCAGCCTTCCGGATAGGAAATGGAAAAGTACCTGTGCATTAAAAGCAACTATGGATGAACTATTACAATGCCCTGATCATGGATTGACGCAGGCCCAAATCTTAAACAGTTTTGCCCGAGCACTTCCGGATCCCCTGCGAACACAACTCTATCCCCGCACTAAAGAAGAGGGGATGACATATGAGAAGTTCGGCAAGATCGCAATAGATTACGCCGGCTTCCTTGCCGAAGCAAACTATTGCCATTACTGGAAGGATCTGCAAGCGGGTAAAAGATGGCAAAACCGCACTATCTCAGGGTCTATACCAGAGAGGCGCCGAGACCATCTCCTGGGATCAGGTAGACTATGGTCTCGATGAACCCAACAGACCGGTAGCTCAGGAGGGGAGTTACGCGGCTGTTGCTGCCCGCGGGGGAGGGCGTCAAGGAAGAGGGCGTGGCCGAGGAAGAGGTCGCGGCCATGGTGGACGAGGATTCGGCACCCAGAGGGGTGGTGGTGAAGGAAGCCACTACGTGGGAGGAAGGGGACCTCACAAGGTGGCCGTGGTTCTTACTCCACCTGGGGTAGAGGAAGGGGCACTTGGTATAACAAGTGGGACAAACCGTACCCACCACGTCCACGCCTACCCGAAGGAGAGCCCTGGAAAGAATTGGGAATAACAAAAAAAGTCTGGCAAGAAAGAAAGAAAGCAGACCAATGTCTCAAGTGTGGGGACCCCGACCACATTGTGCCCTATTGCCCTGACTATAGGGGACAAACCGTACCCACCACATCCAGGCCTACCCGAAGAAGAGCCCTGGAAACAATTGGGAATAACAAAAAAAGTATGGCAAGAAAGAAAGAAAGCAGACAAATGTCTCAAGTGTGGGGACCCCGACCACATTGTCCCCTATTGCCCTGACTATAGGGGGGCAAAAGGGAACAGCCAGTAGAGGTGTTGCCTCTACCGGGGCTTCAAATGTTGAAAAATCAGAATCCTCCCATTCGAAGGCTCCAATGGCAGAAACTAAAGAGGAAGGAAGTCCCCATCTAGTGCACTGTCCAGAGGTGGCAAACGTATGCATCTCTCTAGATGGATCCCTCGCTGGCATAGGTTATGAGTTGGCCGCTCGTCGCCAAGCCTGGACTGAAATGCGAAA